CTAGCCGAAACTAATTTGGACATAAACTTAAGGGGACAGGGCTATGATAATGGATCAAATATGCGCGGTAAGAATAATGGTCTTCAAAAAAGATTGCTGATTCTAAATCCCCGCACTTTCTATGTACCTTGCGCTAGCTATAGTTTAAATTTAATAGTAAACGACGCCGCCATGATGATTGAGATCATACGACTGGATTTTTTTAGTATTGTGCAAGAATTATATATATATATTTCGTCCTCTACCAAAAGATGGGATATATTAAAAAAAATATGTCATAAATCTGACCTTAAAATCATTGTCTGAAACAAGATGGTAACGAAAGTTGTATTGACCATGTAATGTTGAGATCAGATAGATATTCTGCAACATATATTCTGGATTCGTTTATTACTGATCATGCTCCGATAGTGTTTCACTTAGATTGCAAAATTATAAGGTATCCATCTAAAAGCACAACTTTCAAAATTGATCATCCATCAGTATTAAAACAATTATCTGATACAGATTTTAGCTTTATATACAATATCAAAGATGCCAATGAAGCAGCTACCGTTTTAACTAAAACTATTGTTGATGCCATAACTGCTCATTCCAATAAAATAAAAATTCCTCACCGTAAACGTTATATCAAGCCATGGCTAACTCCAGGATTGGTACGCTGTATAAGACACAGGGACAAATTGCACAAGAAAGCAAAGCACGATAAAAACAATGCAATATTACAGATTACTTACACGAGATATCGCAATTTTTGCAACAATTTGTTGAAAAAAATTAAAACTGCATACGAGAAAGCCGAGTTCTGTAAAAATAAACGCAATCCAAAGGATACTTAGAATACTATAAATATGATCACCAACCTCAAACAATATTCACCCCCTCCATGTGAATTACTAAATCTAACTGATGATCCTCATAAATCTGTCGATATTGTTAATAATTACTTTGCAGAAATTGGCCCATCTTATGCTAACTCAATATTAAAAACTCAGCAATACATTGACCACCCAAAAATTGTTAAAGATCGTGACGAATCTAACCGCTTGCTTAAATCTATGGTATTGTTTGACACAGACTATTACGAGATAGAAGCTATTATCACAAAATTGAAAAATGATTCAGCCACGGGAATCGATATCATACCTACCCTAGTCATAAAACGTGCCAAAAACAGTCTGATTCCCCCCATAACATATTTGTGTAACCTTTGTTTAAAAACTGGTGTTTTTCCAGATATTTTCAAGAGGGCTCTAGTTCACCCTATACATAAGAGTGGTGACAGAGACACTGTCGAAAATTACAGGCCTATATCTGTATTAAGTGCGATAGCCAAAATTCTTGAAAAAGTTTTAAATCTCAGACTCACAAATTTTCTCAAACATAACAATATAATTTCAGATAATCAATTTGGCTTTGTGAAAGGTAAGTCTACTGAAGATGCAACTTTAATTCTAACTGAGACAATCGCAAAACATCTTGATAATAAGTATAAAGTTATAGGTGTTTTTCTTGATTTGTCAAAGGCCTTCGACACTGTTTCTATTCCCCTAATTCTGCATAAGATGGAATTGATCGGCGTACGAGGAATTGCTTTAGATATATTTCGATACTATCTATCTAATCGCACGCAGTTAGTTAAAATCGGTGATTACACTAGTTTACCTACTACTGTCTCGTTCGGTGTACCACAAGGTAGTGTACTAGGCCCAACTCTCTTTCTAGTTTACGTAAATACTTTATGCTCACTTACCTTGCCTAACTGCAAAATCATTTCGTACGCCGACGATATGGCTTTAAATATGGTAAGGACTGGAATGAAGCCCAACAAAATACAGAATATACGCTTGGTAGGGTCATGCGGTGGCTTAGTAGCAATCTATTGACATTAAATGTAAACAAGACTAAATATATAACTTTCACTCACCGTGCCAGTATCCAACCATCAGCGGAATTTTATATCAAAGCACATACATGTGAACAACATAGCTTATGCAACTGCCCAAAACTTACTCGTTCCATTAAAATAAGATACCTCGGACTTATCATTGACTACTGCCTATTTTGGTCAGAGCATATAAGCAATTTAACCTGCCGTATTAGAAAACTAATACCAATATTCAGAAAATTGAGGAATTCTGCTGACTTTGAAATATTGATATGTGTATACTATGCTCTTGCTCAAAGTTTACTACAATACTGCATTGTAACAGAGGGTGGAATTGGAAAAACAACTTTACTCCCCTTAGAACGTGCTCAAAGAGCAATCTTAAAGATAATGCTAGGTAAATCACAAAGATTTAGCACCGAACTTATCTTTAAGGCGTGTTCTGTATTTACTGTAAGACAGATTTTTGTCATGTCTGTTATACTACGTAAGCACAAAAATACAGAGTTTAAACCTAATTTTAAACGTAACAAAAATAGAATTTGTGACATGGTTTCTCATAGAACTGCTTTAGCACGTCGTCAATATTATGTCACTAGCAATAATCTATATAATGTAGCAAATAAAGTAAACAATATTTACCCTTTGTCCCTTTATAAATGTAAAGTTAAAATCCTAAATTGGTTGGTAAGCCTTAATTACCTGGAAACAGAGAAGTTAATCAGTATTTAAGTTCTTACACACTATTACATGAACATGCACATGCACATGCACATGCACATGCACACACACACACACACACACACACACACACACACACACACACACGCACGCACGCACGCACGTACGCACTCACGCACGCACTCACACACGCACGCAACCACGCACGCACGCACGCACGCACTCATGCACTCACGCACTCACGCATGCACGCACGCACGCACACGCACGCACTCACGCACGCACGCACGCACGCACGCACGCACGCACTCACGCACTCACGCACGCACGTACGCACTCACGCACTCACGAACGCACGCACGCACGTACGCACGCACGCTCATACACACACACACACACACACACACACACAGTTGAGGGAGGTGACTGTATCTACGAAGGGCTCATGTAGAGCCCTGTAGTACCTCCCGTGGAGCTCCTTCTCCTTCCATACGGTCTCCCGGTCGGAAATGCTAAGCACTGCTGGGTCCTGCCATTGCTCGTTGGCTAAGGATAGAGGGGTAAGCCCTTTATCACTAGAAATGACGTCATTATAAAATGGATCATCCGATCTCGCCAGGAAGTAATGACGGAGGATGCACACTTCACGATTATGCATGGTGAGCGCGCTCAGAAAGCCACGCCCACCATGCTTTCGCGGCAAGTACAGCCTCATTACCGACGATCTCGGATGATGCATCCTATGGGACGTCATGGTAGTGCGGACTTTTCTATCCAGGGCGTTAAGTCCAGTCTGAGTCCACCTGAGTATGCCAAAGGTATACATAAGGACAGGCATGACCCAATCGTTATATGCGTGTGTCTTATTCACACCGGACAAAAGGCTATTAGCACTTTGGTCAAGCGTGCATAAAACACGTCGCAAACTGACTGTTAAACCAGCCTCATCGATACCGATGTTCTGTGACATACCCAGGTATCGGTATGTTTCAACCTCGGAAAGGGTCCTTAAGTTGACGGGCATAGATAAATCTATGCCCTCAGAGTTAGCAACCCTTCCCCTTTCAACATGGAAGACCGCACACTTATCCGTCCCCAGCTCCATTCCAATGGAATTGCTAAATTCACAAGTGATTTTTAGCAATTCCATAAGATGGGAGCGACTGGAGGCGAATAACTTGAGGTCATCCATATAGAAAAGATGGGTCACTTTTGTCCTTCCTTTCCGTAGCTGAAATCCTCTCCCGGATCCCTCCAGTAAGGTACTGAGAGGGTTCAGGGAGAGGCAGAACCAGATTGGACTCAGACAATCGCCCTGGAAGATACCCCTTCTTATCCTTATGTGGTTATCCGCAGCCATCATCCGCTCACCCAGATGACAAAGGATCGTACTCCACTGCCCCATACACTGCTCGAGGAAGTCTCTCACTGTATAGTCTATCTTGTACAGCTCGAGGACTCTCTTTAGCCATGTATGGGGCACCGAGTCGAATGCCTTTCTAAGGCGTAGGGAAGTGACGACCCCATCGCCTGCTGACGAAACAGTTAAGTGACAAAACTGCTACGTCGGTGCAGTCAGTAGCGCCTTGCCAAGAGGTGTGAGCGCGCTGCCTTGGCAGTACTCAGGGTGCAAAGGCCCGTTTGCGCTTACGGCCGTACAATGATACAATGAAACGGTGCCGGGCATGGGCGTCTCCCGTTAATTGGCGCCCAAAAATGGACGATGGATATGATTAGAAAGCGTATAGGGCCGCTGCATGGATGGGTCGCCGTGGCGCGTCTGGAGCTGGCGCTGGACGCGGCAGCATGCGGGCCGCCAGCCGAGCGCGAGGAGCTGCAAGATCACCTAGCAGCCCCCCGCATCCATCATCCCCACCAGACGGCTTGATATCGGCAGGGTCCTCTCGGACTCGGAAAACGGCATCCGCCGCTGGTGGAGTGCGCCGCATGCGTTGGACAAGGGATATGAACGCAAACGCATTGCGGGCGTACTATAGGGCAAAAGGGGAAGAAACTGCGGGGATAGCGTATCGGGCTCGGATGCATTGCTTTTTTGCTGAGCTGGAGCCGTCTATTCCCGTCACGGAACAAAACCTGGCAGACCGAGTTCGGTACATCATGCGCTCGAAAATATTTGATGATGCCGAGCTCGAACGACTACGACGTGAGGCCATTCCCTCATCGAATGAATTGGCTACTATTGGGGATGCGGCTCCTCAGGCGACAGGCCAGCTGCCACGCGTAGAAGCCGCCGTGGATCTTCCAGTTGTGGTTGATTCAGACGATGATGAAATGGTCTCCCACGAACTGGAGCAAATGAGGAGTATATTGGAAGAGGCGATTTTGGAAACGCGCAGCATGCCTCTCGACCGGACTTCCCCGCATACCCCTAAGCAAACGAAATCGGGCTGTCGTGAGGGCTCTTAACCCAATGCTGGTAACCTATTTGAAAGCCAGCCGGGGCCTTTGCGAGACGGACTCAATTGTTTTTGGCGCCGCAGTGGCAGCTTGCCGTATTATTGGCGCCAAACTTCCCATGGCTGGACGCGCTACTAAACAAAGTAGCGCCATCCCAGCCTGGAGAAAAAGAATTGAGGACCGTATCGCAAAGGCAAGGGCCCTTATTGGCAGACTGATAAGCTTCAGGTCGGGTAATAATAGACCGAGGGTTGTGCGCACCGTTAGAATGGCGTTTGCTGGGACAAATATCAGTTTATCCCAGCCGGATATCACGCAGAAACTAACGGAGCGCATAGACGACCTGAAGCAAAAGATTGCTGCTTGGGGGAAGCGGATTCGCCGAGTTACCGAAAGGTCAAGGCGGTTCAACCAGAATCGTCTCTTCCAGAGTGATCGGAAGAGGCTCTACAAATCACTGGAGCGACCAGAGGTATGTGGAGCGGGCCCAGGACCGGATCAGGCTAACACTGTCGTATTTTGGCGTGGCCTGTGGTCAGAGCCCGTAAACCACAGCGAGGGCCTTTGGACGGAAGTTGTGGCGAGTCAGTGTGCGAGTATTACGCCCATGGACCCAGTCATCATAACTCCGGATGACGTAGCTGATGCGGTTCGTAGAGCCCCGAACTGGAAAAGTCCGGGACTTGACGGACTGCATCACTACTGGCTGAAGTGGTTCATGGTGTGTCACGCTGTGCTCGCCCGTCAGTTTTAAGAGGCTCTCAACCAGAAGTCGCTCCCTAGCCTCTTCACTACTGGGATACTCATTTGGTTCCTAAAGACCAGGTTACCACAGACCCGAGCAAATACCGCCCCATTACGTGTCTACCCACCATATATAAGACACTGACATCCATTTTGAGCGCGAGAATCACTCGTCCCCTGGAGCTAAATCAGGTGATGTCACGCGCTCAAAATGGATGTCGGGGCGGTGGTCGTGGAACTAAGGAACCACTCCTCATCACGCGTTATTCAATTATTATTATTATTCTGACCTTTTGTGTTCGTCCATCATACCGTCGTCCGTCTTGTAGAATCACGGTAGCGCCACCTAGCTGAATTTAATTTTGCAACATATTCGATTTTCCCACGGGAATGATATGTTTTTCCGCTGAAAAAAGTAGCCTATGTCACTCTACAGCATCCGAACTAACCCCATACAAAAAATCATGTCATGCCGACGCTCTGTTGCGACGTGAAAGAAGGACAAACTTGTGCAACATATTCAATTATGATCCGTTGATTGATTATATTAAAAATCACAGGTTAGTTGTTATCGGACGGATGGACAAGACGTATCGATTTTGCAGCGCTTTAAAATGGAAAGATGAGACCGCAGGCATGTGCTGTTCCAATGGCAAAGTGTCTCTTCCGTTGCTTGGGGAACCAGAAGAACCTTTGACAACTCTCTTTTTATATGATACTAATGAGTCACGGCGCTTTTTAAACAGGATCCGGAAATATAACTCATGCTTTCAAATGACGTCCTTCGGAGTTGACCGGGAAATAATAATGCCAGGATTTTCGCCTACATTTACGGTGCAAGGGCAAATTTATCATAGAATAGGGTCACTTTTCCAGCTGAAAACCAACAGCATAAATTTTTACAAGTATATTTTATGGGTGACGAAGAAATTGAGATAGACCGTCGCTGCCAATTCATCCAGGGAGTTCAGAGAGACACAGTGTTCAAAATTCGAAGATTCTTGCATGAATGTAACATTTTAGTCGAAACATTTAAAACTGCTTTAGAAAACCTAACTGAAGAGGATTATAAAGTCGGAAGAGGATTATAAAGTCGTCATTCACGCAGATCGGACCCCTCGAGGAGAGCATAAAAGGCGCTAAAATTCACCTTTGATAAACGAAATAGCAGCCGAACAAAAAAGCATCATGTATGGATTTTTATACGTATCATATTATGTTGCGAGAAAATGATTTTAACCCCTTGCCCGGTGTAGAAAATTATTTCATCAATTTTTGGTAGACATGTATGTGAAGGTAGAAAGTGAACGTCTCCGTTATATATCTTTAAATCAAAAAAGGCTGCACGTTGAGAAATATATACATTTACATGATGCAGTTTCTAGCGACGCCAATGTAAACCCTAGAGATTTAGGTAAAATGGTAATTCTGCCCTCATCATTCATTAAAAGTCCCCACTACCTACATGAGTAAACACAAGACGCATTCGCCTATGTACGAACTTACGGAAGACCTGATCTTTTTGTTACTTTTACTTGCAATCCCAAATGGAAAGAAATAACCGAGTAGCTAATGCCGGGCCAAAAAAGTACTGACAGACACGATTTAGTTGCTAGAGTATTTAGATTAAAAGTACAAAAATTAATGTATGTAATTAACAAAGGGAAAATTTTCGGAGAGGTGCAGTGCTTCATGTATTCAATTGAATGGCAAAAAAGAGGATGCTACCGCATGCCCACATTCTAATATACCTTAAAGAGAAGTTGCGGCCCAGTCAAATAAACGACATAATAAGCGCCGAGATTCCGGATCCTGAGCAAGATAAAAAATTGTATGATACCATCGTCCGAAATATGATTCACGGTCCATGTGGAGCACAAAATTCAATATCGCCATGTATGAAAGAAGGAAAATGTACAAAGAAATTCCCTAAACAGCTATTAAAAGAAACAGTTTACCTTTTATACAGGCTACCTTTTATACAGACGCAGAGCTCCCGAAGATGGTGGCAGGAAAGTTACAATCAAATCTCGCTCTGGAGCGTTCGAAACCTTAGATAACAGCTGGATTGTCCCGTATTCGCCCATTCTATGTAAAATGTTTAATGCCCACATTAATGTAGAAGCATGTAGCTCTGTCCGCGCAATCAAGTATATCTGTAAGTATATAAATAAAGGAAGCGACCAAGCAATATTTAATCTCAGGAGTGAAGGTGAGGCAAATCCCGTTATTAAAGTACAGACCTTTCAAGCAGGGCGCTATGTCAGCAGTAACGAGGCAGCGTGACGTCTCCTTGGCTTCCCATTACACGAAAAGCACCCAACAGTTACTCACCTTGCTGTGCACTTAGAAAATGGAGAGCGTGTATATATCACCGAAAGAAATTTCCGAGAAAGAATTGCATCACCGCCAAAAACTCCTTTTTTCAACTTTGTCAAACCGACCCCTTTCAAAAACGTTTTATATTCTGAAGTTTCCCCATTATACTTGCACATCAAAAAGAGTGGAAACTATTCAAGGCGCTGTTGCAAATTGGCCCGGTGTAAAGTCATCAGATGCCATTGGTCGTGTGTATACCGTGCATGTAACTAATTTTTCTAACTGCTGCCCATGTTCGGAGTCCTACAGGATATAAAGACCTTAAAACTGTCAACGGTCAGGAATGCGCAACTTATAGAGAAGCATGTGAAGCTCTGCATCTTTTAGAAAACGATAATCACTGGGATGAAACCATGGAGGAAGCTGTGCAGCGCCAGTCACCAGCCAAAATTAGGGATCTTTATGCAACTCTCATATCATCTTATGGGCTATCCAATGCACATGAATTGTGGGACAAATATAAAGAGTACATGGCGGAAGATATTTTGCGAAGTAAGCAGACACACGTGAACATGACATACAATGAACACATTTATAATGAAGCACTTGGAAAAATGTGAAGATAAATTATGCAACAGCAAAAACCAGAAAATGAACTAAGTGATGAAATTAAACGTGAAACAAACTACGATATACCAGCTTTGCAGCAGCAAGTAGCTGAATTTGTACCCCGCTTGCTTCCCGAACAAAAACGAGTTTTTGACAAAGTATTAGGACAAATGAATCTGGAAATGGTGCACTTTTCTTTTTAGATGCCCCTGGAGGAACTGGGAAGACATTTTTGTTAAATTTATTATTAGCGCAAGTACGGAAAGATAAAAACATTGCTGTGGCCGTAGCTTCCTCCGATGTAGCCGCCACGCTGCTAAGCGGAGGCCGCACTGCACATTCTGTTTTAAAACTCCTTCTAAATCTAGCTCAGGAAGAATCGCCGATCTGCAACTTTACCAAAAATAGTGCACGAGGTATAATGCTACGACAATGCAAACTTTTAGTGTGGGACGAAAGTACAATGTCGCATAAAAAGAGCTGTAGAAGCACTAAATCGAACGCTCCACGATTTGCGCAGCAATACCGATGTAATTGGAGGAATGGTGGTTTTACTGGCTGGTGACTTTCGCCAAACTTTATCTGTCATTCAAAAGGGCACACCTGCAGATGAAATTAAAGCATGCCTCAACTCGTCTATTTTATGAAACAAGGTGACAAAATTCAGTTTAACTACGAATATGAGAGTTCATTTGTATAATGATATCAATGCTGGAAACTATGCTGACACACTATTAAAAATTGGCGATGGGCGGTTGGAAACGGATGCTGAGGGCTGCGTTAAAATGACGAGAGATTTTTGTATTTAGTACAGAGTCATTCCGAATTAATTTCGACCGTTTATTCAGATTTAACGAACAACATGCATGAAGACAAATGGTTATGTGAAAGGGCGATTCTTGCACCAAAAATGAGAGCGTTAACAAAATAAATTCAGATATATTAGCGAAGTAGCAGGAGAAATAACAGAGTATTTGTCAGTAGACACAGTTATGGACATAGAACAGAGCACTTCATATCCCATAGAGTTTCTAAATTCTCTAGAGTTGTCAGGTGTGCCCTCACAAAAGCTTCAATTATAATTAGGCGTCCCAGTCATGCTAATGCGAAATTCCTCGTTATGTAACGGGACAAGACTGCTGTGACACATCTTGGACGGAACATAATCGGTGCTACAATTTTGACAGGCGTAGGAAAAGGTGAAAATGTTATTATACCACGGATCCCTATAATTCCCACAGATCTTCCTTTTCAATTCAAAAGGTTGCAGTTCCCTATTAAGCTCAGTTTTGCAATGACAATTAATAAAGCGCAAGGGCAAACGTTACAGGTTCCGGTGGTCAACTTAGAAAAACCGTGCTTCTCTCATGGTCAGCTGTATGTAGCATGTTCGCGTGTGTCAAATGCCCAGAATCTCCACATTCTTTCCCCGAATGGAAAAACATATAACATTGTTTACAGTAGCGTCTTAAAATAGTGTTCAGTTAGTTTTTTTTCCAAAATTCCCACAATCAATTAATCAGAATTCACATAGATCTTCCCTTTCAATTCAAAATTTCCTATTTAGCTCAGTTTCTTTTCAATTCCAAATGCTGCACCTCTGACGGACCTATTAAGCTCAGTTTCCTTTCAACTCAAAAGGCTGCATCTCTGACGGATCTTTTATTTGGCTCAGTTTCCTTTCAATTCAGAAAACTGCATCTCTGACGAATCAATTTAGCTCAGTTTCTTTTCAAAAATCTGCATCCCTGACAGATAATTATGCTCAATTTCCTTTAATTAAAAAAATATCCCATTTCCATTTAGAATAAACAGGCTATTTTCATGCTTTCCTATACGCTGCGTTTCAAAACATTTAAATAGGCTGACGAATCAATTTTGCTCAGTTTCCTTTTAATGGCTGCATCTCTGACAAATCTATAAAACTCAGTTTTCTTTCAATTCAAAAAGCAATGGATAGTTCATTTCCCAGTGTCCATGCGGGCGAAGCCGCGGGTAACAGCTAGTTCTCTATAGTGGGCAAAATTTACAGGGCAATTTATTTAATATAATAGCAAATTTTCGTTTGTTCAGTATAGCACT